ATAGCCATCCTAGAAACTCATTATCGTCTCACCTTTAAGCATTTGTTGAGAAGTTTCTTCTTCATAGACCTATGGGTGCGATCATACCAGCACTAATGCACCGGACCCCCTCAAAAATTCCTCAGCCAAGTGTGTTCGGACAAACATGATTCTAAGAGGAGTAAAGCTTAACGTCCGTATGAAACCTACTCCTACCTACTGCCATAACTCTATCTCGGGAGCGTTAGCAGAGACACTAAGGATAGTACAGTAATGTGCAAAAATTTATATGCGTAAATATAAATTGTAAGGATGCACTTAAGACAATCATTTCCACTAACGAAGTCGTTTTTCGTCATGAAACAGAGCTATGTCTTCACCAAGAGGCAACAAACCAACTAGCAAGACGCCAACACTTCAGATAGACGCTGCTACATTTCAAGCTGCAGTCACGGCAGCCGTGGCAGCCGTCATGGTGCATTTCAATACTAACAACATCAACAAGGGTGGAAGCGATACTTACAATACAAATTGTGGTAACAATCAGGGACACCAATGGGTACCTACCAGCAAAAATTCATCAGGCCACGAACCTTCGAACAAGAAGAGAAAGTTTTGGGACATGAAAAAGCGCCACCAATCAAAGGGATACACTAAAAGACAACAGCCTAAGGCCGCCTCTACCATTACAACAACAGTCATGACAAATGCCTCGACACTAGCCTCGGGGTCTGCCACCCAAATGCCTGCCAGACCATATAAGGGATCACTCCCAAAGTGCAACAAATGTGGCTTTCACCACCATGGGGCTTGCCGGGAGATGCACTGTAAAAACTGCAACAGGAAAGGGCATACCGTTCGTTTCTGTAGGGCCTCGGCCCATCACCTCCCTTCAATCAACTGCACCAAGGTAGGCCCAGTATGCTACCTATGCGGTGAAACGGGACACTTCAAGAGAGAATGTCCAACTGAGAAGAACGACGAAGGAACAGTAGGAATGTGATGAACACACCAACAGGAGCAGCAAGGGAACCATGTTAGGACTTTTGTAATGTTCCCAACAACAATACGTTTAAGTACTATATGTTTGTAATGAATTTGGTACGCTTACTAAAGTAACCTTCCTTCTAAAAAGTAGCTAAAATATTTTCTCTCTCATACAAATCAAACCAAAGACATTCATATGTGACCTTAGGAGCATTACTTGTAAGTTGTAATGACCTTGTCCATACATCGGGGTTAATTTAAAATCAAAATACTTAAGTCTTGAAATAGATAATTCCATCCTGACTCCGATTCCATGTCTAGTATTAGGGGTTGAGTGGGGTCACCCACTCGACAAATTTCACGATGTCAATTTACATACGACAATCATATACCGCTCGATCGTAAGGAGACCTGTCAGGAATCATGATATCAAGTATCATTACTGGCTATCGAAAACACACCCACTACCAGTGCTAGACACTGTGGTATGAATCATCTATCATAATCATAACATCAAACAAAACGGAACACACAAAAAAAAAAGAAATACAGGACACTCTATCACTCTAGTGATCTCTTCCTTTGAAGACAACTATCTCATGTTATCTAAAAAAAGATAGTGTTGTCGTATTCCAATTTTGATTGATATTGCCCTTGTCTTCCTGATTAAACGACTACAAAAGGGCCTTTCGCCTAACCCCTGAATATCGAAACTATCGTCTCTCATAAACATCCAGTACGGACCTTTGGGTCATCTCTCGCTGTGGAACTCTAAAACATGAACCAGAGGAGTGTCATACTTCCCGAAGCCTTATCACATGTATTTACAGGAGACCTTCGGGAATGTCACACATGTATCAGACAAGATTCAAGCATAGATGCTTGGGACAGATATGGTACGAGTCCTGCCATGAGCTTCGGACTAAGGTTGCCCAGAAGGACGAGTAAATGTCCTGCCATTGAAAAAGTCATAGTCGAGTGAACCAAACCCACATACTTCCTACCGAGCTACAAGAGCTGTCAGGTCAAACCTGTCGAACTACTCAACAATGAAATTGAAGAACCAAGTTTCTCACCCTGAAAAGCTCTCGTCTTATTCTTCAAATTAGAAAGACAAATTGCTCACAATTCCATTGATTTCAGAGGCCCCGACAACATCTCTAATAGAAACCTTTACTATCTGCCTCGCATTGACGAATAGGCCGACCAACCTCAAGAAACGAGGTACCCTTCAGGAATTGGACCTAAGATCTGAATATCACCAGTCACGAGTATTGAAGAAGGATATCCGAGAACAATCCTCCAATTTCGATGCAGACGCTGAAAGTTCGTAGTGATAACCCTCGGATAGGACCAAACCACTCGTTGGAGTCATGAACGTAATAAATAGGATATACCCTTCTTGCTAGGATCAGTTCATCATCGTCATTACAAATGACTTACTTATCTACCCTCGTAGTAAGAAGGAAACCAAGGAGAACAGTTAAAACAAACCACGAAAGCATTACGATCAGAGAAGTATTACCCGAAGTTCTCTAGATACGAGTTTTGGAATTGAGGAGTTCAATTCGCAAGACACATCGTTACCAAGGTGGAAATTCATGAGGACCCTTTCAATTGATCAAAACCGTTGAGAAACAATCAGCATCGAAGGCGTTAGCAGAAATACGCCAAAAATTCTGGGTCTTGCTGACCTACCGTCTTAATTCCTTCGGAACTTCTCGAAAAATACGAACCCCCTCCCAACTTTGACCCTAAAGGGAGCAACCCTTGACAGGAAGAGAAACAAGAAGAAGAAACCTTTAGAACACCGGTATAACCGACGAAATTCCTCTAGAGACACTCACTCTGGGAAGGCTTAGTACGCTTCGGAAAGCATGGAAAGCCAATACCCCAAATAATTGTGTCTTTCGAGATTCTTGTCAGAATCAGCCCTGTAACTCGCTACTTCAATCTACTCCCGCGAGCTTAGTAAAGTACACCCTACCCAACACGTCCCAAATTTACAAGAAGAATCTATCCGATGAGACTCTTGCAATTCTCCTCGACGAGATCAAGTTCCACATGTGCTTTGATGTAACGTTTTCAATTATATTTGTGTCGGTTGTATTTACTTTGAGCACTATTATACTCATTGTTGTGATACTCTACATGAAGTCCTCCACCCCCGGACGTTTCCGCCATCCTTGGTTTGGGGGTGTGACAGGAACTAGTTGCATCGGACCGAAGTCCAGAACTGACTGCATAGGACCGAAGTCCGGAACTAACTGATCATAGCATAATATAAAACCATATCAACTAGCATAACACACATCATCATCAACTCATATACTGCATACTAAGTCAGGCAGTAGCCTAGAACACATAATACATAAATCCGGTCTGAGCCACGAAGGCATCAAACAAACTAAAAACTGCATCAGACCGAAGTCTAGAAACTACTACTAACTAAACGGGCCGACATTGTGGCCTTAGACCCGTTTTACTGGAAGGAAACTCACCTCATAGCCTAGCTGCTGAAAGGACTACTCCAGAATCTGTCTGCTGCGGCTCCGGTTTCACCCCGGATACAATATCCATGAGCACCATCAATCAAATACTGATAATAATACTGAGGGTGTAATGACTCTCCTACCCTTGGTCCAAGTCAACCTAACTGTCAAAGTCAACATTCAGTTGACCTGACTTGTCGAGTTGGGTCGCCAACTCGTCGAGTCCTTACTCTTACTTTTTTGATTCCACTCACTACTACTCGTCGAGTTTTGGCGCAAACACTATATACTCGATTATGCTTGAAACCAGTCAATACCATTAATAGATCTGGGTTCCTGGGACTTGATTAACACGTAAGGTTTCTAACTTTACGTGTAAATAACATCAAATGAAGGTTTTAAGGTTCAAAGCACACTATAATAGTAGATCTAGAGCTTCCATCCAAAATGGATCCATAAAGGTGCTAGATCTAAGCTTCTGGAATTCAAACCTAGCTAGATCCGAAGGCTAATCAACTCCATGAGTCCTCTATGCTACTACTAAGCCAAGAAATGGTTCAAGAATAGCTTTAATGGCTTCAAAAAGGGGATTTAAGCATAGAAACAGAAAAAGGCCAAGATATACCTTACTATCTTCTGAAATTCCTCAAGGATCTAGGATCTCCTTCTTTTCCTCTTGATCCACCTTCCTTTATCTCTCAAGATCTTCAAAGAACACACCAAAATCACACAAAATGCAAAGAGGGTTCTAGGGTTTCGAGAATAATGCTCTGAGGGGTGATGGGGGCTGACTAGTGGCCTCAAAAGTTGTTTAAATAGGGTGCAAACCCTTGAAATTAGGGTTTCATCCAGACTGGCGGACTCGCCGAGTCGCCAACTTAAACGTGCTCGAAATCCTGACTCTTCTCGACGAGTCCAGCTACCGACTCGTCGAGTTCCCCTTAAAAACTTGAAGAAAAATAATAATAAATAAAAATATAAATATCATATCAGAATTGGGGTGTTACAGACACCCTTCGTTTTCAGAATAAAAGGCTAATATACTGCCAATCTGTCACTTTAGTAACATGAAATTTTCTTCACTTTCCTTTTCCCTTACCTAAAACCCAAGGAATGGGTGGGGGAAACTCCACTCACTATTTTTTTATTTTTTAGAAAAAATATATTTCATACATATATTATTCTTATTTTGTAGGGAATTAAAATCCATGAATTTTGATATATTTTTTTAATAAGTATATAATTTTATAAATATAAAAAAAGATTAAAAAAAAAAACTACCCAATAGCATAAAGAGAGAGAGTGTAGCACCCCTCCCCCCACCTCTTTCCCGCTCGTTGCTTCCCTCACCCGAGGGATGGTGTTCCAGTGTGAGGGAAGCTTCCCTCTCCCTTTTTCCGCTAAGATACCATCCTGCCTAAGAATAAATTGATTGGACACCCAACAACTCCACTCACCAATTATTTTTGAATAAATTGTGTCATCTTTGCCGGCCGCTAGCTATTATTTATGACTAAAGTTTGCCTTTCTGTTAATCAATAT